CACCACAAGACGACGGCGGATTGTTGTTGACCGGCTGTCGATTGGCTCTACTGGAAGATTCATGCGGGCGCTGTTTCCGAAGCAATCTCCTTCGATTCCGGTGAAAAGATGCCTAGCTTTCGTCCGTTTGAGCAAGGTATCATCGTCACAACCAAATTCAAGCTAACGAGTCAAGAAAATTATGAAACGAGAGATTCCTCGAAACCCAACATTTCTTCACATATGGATATCCTATGCTGCGGATGAAGCGTGAAACGGAAGAATTTGCGACCGAACATCTGCATCCTCCTCGACAGCACTTATCTTTTTTTGATTGATCCTGCAATGGTGCCGAATGTGATTTCGTTCCAATGTACGTGTGTTGTGTGCATGCAACGCTCGTGAGACGCGTGGGGCTGGAGAGTGAAAACCAGATCTGAGGCTATTCAAGCCTCCTCTTGCTCGGCGGTATTTCTTGTTCTCTCTCTCTCCCTCTCTCTCACTCGCTCCTACTTTAAACCTTTAAGTATGGTTTTAAAAGAAATTTGAAAGGAGCCCCGCATTTGTGGGTTTACTTTAACGTTCTTACCCAGTTTGTTTCACATTTTGCCAGCTATGACAGATATAAAAGGTAAACTGCCATCCATTTCTAGCTCCATGGTGAACTTGATATTTCCGTCGATTCCATTCATCAACGTTACCAATTCTCCTAGGCTTTCTTCGCATGTTGCCATACGGCAAAGCAGTAAAAATGCGTCTTGTATTAGGCGAATTTCAATTGAAGCCATGTAGCTATTTGCTAAAATTGGGGATAAACATGATCCCATAGCTAAGCCTCGTGTTTGTTCGTACAGTTTACTACTGAAAGCCAAATATATATACAGTTCAACATTAAATTCGTCAACCTCATTATTGACTCCTTACATAATTTTGTATTTCCCAGAAAAGCGGGGCTTCGGTCCAAAGTCAATTCTAGAGCCTGAGTAGCTTCGCTTACAGGAGTTTTATCTTAGATCGACTATACACCAAAACTAACCAGCAAATCTCTACCTTCTATTCTTTGTTCATCGACTAACTGAATTAATTAACAAGTGTTTCTTATTGAAAAATGGTACGTCTAGAAGAATTGCTTTATTTGCTGACAGATATATTGTGATGTTTTATGCATCACGACCCCCTTATTATTAACAATAATTCTGTATGAGATTCCTTCCTTATGTATCTTGGGGAGACGAAATGCATTTGTGAGCCTGGTATTTCGTTGAAGAAGTGTGTTTATTTTCCACTTCTATAATTCCCATTTTGTTACTGAATGTTTCTGTAAAGTCTTTATTGATAATCGTGTACGTTAATTTGTCATCTAGCGCCTGCATCATCTTTTCTACATAACTAACCTCATCAGTGACCAACACTGCTACTCCCTTGTCTGCCCTTAACACTATTTGTCCTGGTCTCTTTGTTTTTTAATATTGTTTTTTATTATATTATGTCTTAGCGATACCTCTACATGGCTTCAATTAAGGGGACGACTTGCAACTCGATACCACTCCTAGTCTCTTCAGGAAAATTTTCAGTAAAACTTATGAGTTCTACTAATATTTCTTTCTTGCTATCCTTACTCTTTGGTAACGCAATGTTTAAACTTTTCGAAAGAACTTCCTCTGTACTAATGTTCAAAGCTGTCTTGGACAGGTTTACCACTTTCTCTTTTACTCTACTTTGTTCCTGTAAATCTACCTTAACTGTCCCCAGATGATTTTCCCTCTTAATTCTCATACCTAAATCTTAAAGCTTTTAATTATGATTTATCCTAACCTGTTGAAAACTTATGACATATAACTTATCTGCCATTGTTTCAAAATTAAAGAGTTCGTCTAAGCTAAGGACTTCAAACAGTGATTGCCATAATCTGGTTTTCATCCAAACTAAAGAATGTAATTTTATGATATTTTCTTGAATTCTAAAAACAACTGATTCGTAGATTCTCTCAGAAGGACTCGAAATATTCGGCCCATCAATAATAAAAATTTGCGAATAATTCTACGTGATGAATACAATTTAAAAAACCGAATATGGTCAACTTGCATGGTCAGCGTTTTCTTGGCCTTAGTGTGCGGTGATGAATCTCGGAAGGTTTTTCGTATATGTGCTCTGGCGGTGTCCATCACATGGCGGACGAAAGCTCAGCAAATATCCATCGGGGTCGCAGGGCGGTGTGCCGAGGACTTATTCGCACAAATCTACAGTCACAGCTTCGAGGCAATCCCCCTACAGCTTCCGGTAAGGCTAACTTACGGATTCGTTTCGCTTGCCTCTTTAAATGAAATGAAATGTACTCTAACATTAATATATCAAGGGATTATTTGAAAACCAGTTTTTCTACAATAATGAGCATGTTCAAC